TCTCTCTCTCTCTCTCTCCTCCTCACGAATGGAAGGATGTAGGAATACTAACGGTAAAAGTATGGCTGCTGACCACTCGAGGGGGTTCAAGGACAGCCGTGGAATCAAGTGGCACCGCGCGCTGTGCTCGCTCGCGAGGCCCCCGGAGCTTTCACGAGCTTCCTCTCCGCTCCCTTTTATCGGGCCACCTAATTCGCTAATTCCGATGAATCGACGAACGATAGGTCGACAGAGAGTGCAGAGAAAGTGGAGTTCTTTTTCTTTTTCTTTCTAGCGTAGGCGGATATACAACTTAAGATATAAGACTGTTGTTTATATCGCGGCAAGTGGGAAATGATTCATCGATGGTTCGCGTTGATGATCTGACGGAATTTAGAGATACGAATCGTGATTACGTCGGCGATCACCCATGCAACGGGGATTTTTTTTTTTTTTTTTTTCATTGGAACGGAGAGATCCCATGCGATAAGTTGTTAAATAACGGTTATGAGAAAGTGAAGTTAGTCTTCGAAGAAGAAAAAAATCAGACACTTCAGTACGTTGTATTAATACTTTCACTGCGAATTAAAACGATTTAGTTGATGCGTCGCGATAAGAGCCTTCGCGAAGAAAGTTGATCCACGTGGATAGTCGTTAATACGTGTAGTTACTTGCGTATACGCAAATCTAAGTGAAACAAGCGAAACTTTTCAACTTCACAGATGAAGAATTCCGCGCGAGTGGATTCAATCAGCGAAGGCTCGTTCGATCAATGATCGAATTATACGAATGATTAAATTATAAATATTCATTCCGAATGAACGTTTCAGTTTTCGCGCGATCATTACGAACTCGACGCAGTGAAAGCGTTAATAGCCAGAGTTAAGTTCAAATTCCTCACTCGGGCACATTAAAGTGGACACTAAAATACAATAATTGCAAGATGGACACTCTTCAATCAAGGACACTTTGAACACTCGGGGGGGGGGGAGGGAGGAAAAGCCTCGAACCTTCACTTGACCGTCGCGCGGCGGGGTGATTCGGAACTGCTTCCGTTGTTTCTCCGGTTCCTTGTACGACTCGAAAAATTTGAATTTATTCGAAATGTCCGAGGTCTCGACGTGAACTTCCTCGGTGGTGTCCGAGCTGCGCACCACGTCATCTGAGACTTGCCGTCCCATGAATGCCTTCGTTCGTACAGATTTCAAATCATTAACCATGTGTGTCGATCGCGGACATTGAAACGCGTGCACCTCCCCTCCACGCAAAGACAAACGCGCAAACAAACGTCGATGATTAATTGTCTTAACTTTGCTATTGCAAGCTGAATGCATCTTCGGATTATTTGCTGTTTGGTTGTTTCAATTTCATTATCGAGCCACGTGAACATTAACTCTTTTAATCTCTACTCAAATCTATTTCTTCTAAGTTTTAAAAGTACCTTAGTGAAGCTTGAATATCTTCATTAAATATTGAATCTTTTTCTTCTTTTGTTGGAATTGAATTACAATTGAAACCGACTAGTCGTCACACCGTGACAAAAAAATCCTTCGAGAATTCTACTAGGAGAGATTAACAGCTCTAGGCAATGTGGAAAACGAATAAAAAAAGCAGAAGAACTTACGTCTCTGGCGCGTCGTGGAGCTTCAGCTGGTGTCTTGGGATTCACTGGAGTCACCGGTCGTCCAGTTTTCGCGGCCGTGGCATCCAGTTCCAGGAACAGCGACCGAGACTTCCTGCTGATCCCTGTGGAACGTCAATCGATTTATCTTGGGAACAATGTCCGCGAAGTATCGCTTCGCTAGAGCAAATAACAGAGAGACACACAGACAGACAGACAGACAGACATACAGAGGAAGAGAGGGACAGATTAAAGGGGAAGATGGTAAAGCTGTTGCACTTGTACGAGCTACAATATCTATCTTGAGAGCACTCTGGCCACTCTGTAACTAAGTATGATCTTTCTAGCGCACATGGTGGTAGCAGAAATTCAGCGGCCAGCCGCCGCTGGCAGTTTTCGACCGCCGATCCATGTGGCTAATTACATTTAACGGGTTCTAAATATACGTGCTGGTGTCCGCGGGGCAAAATGCACCTGCTGCGATCACTTCCTCGTCAGCCTTCTCCGGTTTCGGTTTGCTGTCCGTCTCGTCGTCAGACGCGGCGATGGGCTCGCCCCGTTCGAATCGTTCTTTGATGGAACGAGCGTGGGTCGAGTGTTGGATCTCCTCCGCCGCATTGATCTTCGTCACGCGCTCGCTTCCGGCTACCGCCTGCTGATACATCTCTTTCATTTTACCCTGTTTGCCCTGCAACAGAAATCCAGCCTTCCGGTAGCTGTACCGACATGTACCCTTTGATCTTCTGTCTCTCATCTCAGACGATGACAAATCATTCAGCGAAGATATATTACATTGCTCGAAAGTATATACACTTATGTGCTTTCTCTGGCCATTGAAAATTCTCTATTGATCAACTGTATTTCGTGATTATCTTCTTAACTGCTGATTCTATTTACATAATCGTGTGACGTTCTAAATGATGCTAAAACGATGCTTCGAGTTTTTCTGTTTGTGAAAATTCTTATTTCTATTTTTTGTTTTTTGGTCACTCTTTCTATTAATTGATCACTAGATTATTAATCGATTACTATACTATGTATGATTTCTATGTCCTTCTCTTTTAATTATCGCGTAATTCTCAATTTTTATGCTCTTTTCATTAGTCGATCTACTACTAGTTAATTACTATGTTGCTATTCCTTTCTTGATCATTGGATTATTATTTCTATATTCTCTCCGTTAATCGGCTACTGCTAGTTAATTACTACATTGCTATTTCCATCTGTCCTTTTATCGATCGATCATTAGATTATCTTCTCTTCGCTAATCACTACAATGTTGTTATAGTAATTATAGTGATTAACGAAGATTCGAGTTAATTATTACTATTACTATGTTATTAATTTCTACACCCTTTCATTAGTTAATTTACGTTCTCGACTCTTTTATGATACTGTAACTAGCTCTGTTTTTCGCATCTTCCCCCTAAAATACGCTAGACTCGCGGAGATTCGCCAACTATGTAGAACGAAAGAAAAAAAGTCGCGATGCATACCTCGGTAATCGGTTACACACGGCGCGTTCTAAAGAGAGAATGCGTGCGCTACATTTCCTTCTCTCCAACTTTTTTCTGCGTCTACGTCTAATGGGCTCGATGCCATTACCCCGGACTACTTGGCCTGCTCTGGTTAGGTGTAGATGCTCTCGAGAACGAACAACGAGCAACGAACAACGAAACACGCGGAATTACGCGAACGAGTAACGGTCCAACGAGCCTGAAAACGAACGCGATTTTACCATGAACAGCCTGGAACGAATTCCAGCGATCTCCTCTTTCCTCGCCTCTCGTTGAACCTCGCGCCTTCCCTGCTGGCTGGTCGTCTCCCAACGATTCTTTATGTCGTCCATTTTCGTGAAGCTGATCGGGCGCTCGCGGGTCGCCCGCTTCGCCTTCACGATCTCGCTGTCCACCTCTGCGAATTACAGATAATCCCAAGTTACACGATATTTCGTATTACTATCTCAAGATTCCAATTGGAGGTTGTTCATCATAGGTTAGGTTTGCATAACTATAGGCTGTATGATGATTTGCAGAGTTGAGCTTAGGATTAGTTTATTACATCTTCGAACATATATGGTGTAACTTCTAATTCTAATTCTAAAAAATTTGATATTGCAACTCAAAAGTAACACTATGATTCGAAGTTGTAGTTTGCTTGATGAGAGTTCGCTCGATGCTCGAAGCCATTCTACTGTGTTTAATTACCGTTTGAATTCGATTCCCTTTTGGTACGAGTACGAGTTCGAAAGTTTTCAATCTTAAAATCCTTTCAGTGCAAATTTCAAGTTTCAATGTTAAAATTATCACGTTTATTATATATTTTAATATACAACGTACACACTGATAACAATTGGAATAATTCGTGCAAAAAAAAAGAAATTTCAACGGAGAATCGACCAAAGATTGCTTTACCAAATAAAGACTGCATAAAGAAAGTAATTTCATTCGTTGAAGAGAATTCGCTCGATTCTTTAGAAAAGGATCACTCCATGGAGGATTATTCCACAGCTTTTTTTAACCCTTTCGGTACGAGCGCCGTCGGATATATCCGGCATCCATCAGATAACTTGTGTGTACTTATATAATTCTAGTCTTACTTGTATAATTAACAGAATTTAATATAAATGTCTTTTAATATTAAAACTAACGACATTTGTTAGAAGAGACATTGTTTTATTAAGCAGAGTTCTTATTTAACGCTAAGGAAAATCTTTATACACAAGAGAACTGGCCACGCGCTCTCGTACAGCGGAAGTATCATGGCGGACAGAGCGCTCGTACCGAAAAGGTTAAGTCGTTCGCTCAAAGTTTCGCGGATCGTGGTACCTGGCCGAGTGTAAAGAGTAAGGTTGCGAAAAGAGCTGCGTGCCTCTCGAGGGAATGCTTCTCTTCCAAAGGGAATACTGTACGTCGCGAGAGAAGAGGGGGCGGGGGAGGGAGGGAGAACTCGATGAGAGAAGAGATAGCTGGAAACATCGGACTACGCAGAATCTCGATTTGAATTAAATGTTTCTCTGTTTCCTCACCCTCCGTTTCCTCCGCGTCTTCCTCCTCCTCGCTCTCGCTCGATTCTTCGTAAGGGATCCCATTCAGTGATTCGTCCGCCACTCCGATATCCATGCCTTTCGCCTGGAATCTGGACAAAAAGACGTACAAAGTAGTGGAAAACATTCCCGGTGAATTCTGATTGCTTGGCACACGGACAACGCCGGCGCGTTTGTCCACGGTGCTCTCTTTTATGCACTGGTCGATGGCTACGAATGAAAATCGCTGATCAGTTCGAACACGAGCCTGTCGCAATCACCGGGGACCGGACGTTGGCAAATTCACCGTTCGTCCTACTATTTTATACTCGTAAAGCCTGGGCTTGCACATTTTCGAACGTCTGACATTTTATCGCGTCGTTCGTCTTTGGAATAAGAGAGCCTCTTTGGAATAAAGAGGCTACGTTACTTTCTTTCTTTTTTTCTTTTTTATTCTTCAATTTTAGAAATTCTCTTCACTCTCGCGAGGAACGTGAAGAACGTACACGGGTCATGACTTCGATTTAGGAAATATTTTTTTCATTTAACTTGCAGAATCTGTTCCATCCTTTTTATTCGTTTCTTAACTTTCATTACGCAAGTGCATGATTAACACCCGATTCTCAGGAAAACGTTATTTCCAAAACTTTTTTTATCTAGCTGATTCTTATCTGCTGGTAATTACGCTGATTATACAAATGAAATACAAATGAAGAACAAAGTAACTTGAAAATTATACGTTTCGCTACTAAACTGCAACCACACGGATTTATAAAGATATCTTGAAACAAATTTGGCTTCATTTATATTCGCGGAAAATATAAATGGCTCTCGTGTCTATTTGTACGAACTACACAAAGTTATGACTTTTCTTTTTCCTGTGGAGAACTATCAAACAAAATTGATCGTTCCGGACGATGCAAGGAATTTATTAAGTGTAAATTTAAGTTAGTAAAATTAATTAAATCACTTTGCAGTGGCTTTATAAAGTTGTCATTTCAGAGATATACTTCACTTATATTAGAAAAACGTAAAACATCGATTATCGTTCATTGGTACCCGGAATTGGAAATAGCGCTTTCTGCACTTTGTTTCTTTTACAAGGTGTCGGTTGTTTCTCGCGAGTAATTTGCCATTGCAGGTTGAAAGAATCTCGACCGAAGAAAAGAAAGAATTCTCGTTTGAAAGAAACAATGATAACTTGAGAGGTTGTCAGCGTTCCAAGAAAAACTGGCCGGGCTGGATGGAGTCACAGAGTCCTCGTTGTGTCCATCTCGTGGAAACGAATCTGTGTCACGGCTGAGAACCATCTCCTCGACGCCATCGCGTATGGCCGTTGGAACGAGAGAGGAGAGGAGAGAGTGTGAGGCCAAGAGAACGAACGAAACATCGACGTGCTGGATAATATATATAGGTGACTCCACCGAAACCAGATGGATTACTCACTTGGCGAGCTTGCTTAAGATACTGGGAGACCTCTTGACAGCGATCTGCGACGGCGACCTTTCGATCTCGTTCGTCTCGGTGCCGGCCTTCTCAAACACTTGGAACCGGGACTTCACGTTCAGGCTCGACAATTCCTCGAGGCCCAGGTCCGGTTTGTCTGAGGCTGCAACGGGCAATTAAATAGTATTTTCATCTTTTCCCGTCTAAACGTACCTGGTCGAGATGACACGATCGCGACAACGTGTTTCGCGTTCACCGATGACAGACCGTTGGTCCAGGCGATGCTTATGATTTCTAATGGCGACTCGGGAGTCTAGCCAAGCTGTGATCAAATCGTTGAGTTCGCTCTAAAAGAGGTTTTACTGTGCGATCGAGTTAGTCGTAGAGTTTAGGAACGGAGTAAATCGGATTTCGACAATCTTGCGCCCGCTGTGCTTCAAACACGCGTCTCTTCTTATTGCTTTCGCGATCTCTTATTTTTAGAAACATTTTCAAGCAGATAATCGACATTGAAATGAAGTGGTAGAATCGTGTTACAACCACGGCCAGGGTGTGATTCTGCTTTTTAAAAATAAGCAAGAGAAAAGGAAGAATAAAATTTCTCCACACGACGCCTCGTTTTCGAGGAAGTCGAGTTTGAAAATTTCATCTGTTATCAGGCTTCATTAATCTCGTTAATTCTAGATGTGACAGAGAAGAATAATGAACTTATTTCACGTGCGAAAGTAGGCAAGAAATGTGGAATAATAAATTCTTTTGTAAGATTCTTTGTTTTCGAGAAAAATTCGATCTATTTTCTTAAAAATGCAGCTGCAAATGAAAAAACTTCATTTTACATTTTTTACTTATATTTTTAAATATAGAATACTTTGTTATTAATTGATTATTCTTATTATAAATTCTTATTATTCTTTTCTGTCATGTCTAGAATTTATTTAGGATATTTAAGTATCTAGTCTAGAAATTCAAGTATTTAGTCTGGAGTTGGTAAATTTTCAAAAAAAATTTATTCCTTCTTTTTCGACTTGTTTCTTCATGTAGAATCATCTGCTGGGTGGTTGTATCACAGTTTCGGAAACACTGTACAAATATACATACGTACAATTTTTTTCTAAATATATAATAGTATCATGATTCGTATATTAACTATAGATATTTTTCTACTCACAAGTGAAGAAATGGAACATGTAAGAAGAAGTCTGTTAAACGACGAGTATCATTTAACAAGGACATACTCGTAAGAAAGAATATTAATATTCATACTGAGAACACGTTTCTTGGCAATTATTCCGCCGAAATTGTCGGACTCAAAATTGTCGTCATGCAACGATGATTGTCTCTCATCTACTTG